GGGGCCGCCGCCGACGCCGCCGCTGTGGTGGTGGTGGTCGTAGATGTGAGTTAACGATGACGAGTCCTGAGTCTCCGTTTCACCGCCGAAAAAATCTTCGAGCTTCGGCGGTGGGTGCTGGTGGTGTTGCTGGATTATTTGTGAATCGACAAATACATTTGGATGATATATTTGTTTTTCACCTCCGGAATACATTAATTCATGTGTTTTAGGAACGTTCATCCATCCTGCAAACAAATTTTTAAAAAAATGTAATTTAAATCACTAAAATTATCTTTATTCAGACATAGCTAAGCAAAAAATGGGGGTTTTTTTATCTATTTTTTATTTTGGGGAAACAATTTTCTGGTAATAAAGTGATGAAAGATTTTTGACAAAAATAGCAATAACCGTAATAAAAGACCACATGGTTGCATTTTTTTTTTTGTCTTTTTCTTACTTTTAATTACTTCTTCCTCACAACAAAAACAGAAATTCCGGAGCAATACTTCATTAATCAAATCTATGAATAAAGTTCATTTATTTTTAGGCTCGATTAATTCAGATTCACATCTCATAAGGCACACTAAAATGTTAAGATTGAACTCGAGACTTGTGATTAAAGACGAAAACACGCTTACCATGTGGGTAAAAGTTATCAGCAAAATAGTATTGATGAGATTCATGAGGCGGAGCAGAAGGAGTATTAGATTGAAGCATAGAAGAGGAAGAAGATGAGTTGAGCATTTCCATTGAAGATAAAGAAAAAGATAACCAGTTATTATTTTCTGGAGCCATATTTATTGAATGTAAAAAGAAAAATAGATCAAAAAAGTTGGATTTATTTAGGATTAATGTGTGTGTAAACACATTTTGGTTCTTGTTTGACTAAAAAGCATGCAAAAATAAAGGGGAAAATTAAAGTAGTAGTAGTAGAAATATTTGGTTAAGGACAAAAATATAAGTGAGGAAATGTGGAGGTATATAATAGGAGAAAAGGGCGGTTTCATCTGCCACGTCCGGCGTAAAATCAGAGGGATGCACTTCAATTTTAAAATTAAGAGAAAGAATATACTCCCTCCATCCCTCCGTTCATCTTTACTTGTTCAGTATATTCAAAATATTTTTTAAGTTTGATGTAAATTATTTATTTTGTCTTTATTTGATAATTAAACCTAAGTATATCCTCAAATTTAGATAGTCAAATAAAGAAGTATTTTATAAGACTATTAATAATTTAGAAATAAAATTAATAATTCGCATTGAGTTTATAATGATTTCAATGCGTCTCTTTATTCAAAATAATTTATTTATTTAATTTTAAAAAATAAGAGATAATTTATTAATTTACACTATTTTATTCTTATTATTAAATACAGAGTATTTATTTTTAATAATTAGATAATTTATAGTTAATAAGAGTAATATAAAAAATTATACAAGTCAAAATAAAAATAAATGGAGATAATATAACAATAATAATATACATGTTATATTCTTACCATCAAAATTTAACATGTATATACAAATCCTGATACGTCTATCTCTACGAGGTAAAAAATTATATCAGCGAAAACTTCTCAACTCAAACTCTAATTATTAAAATCATTCCACTATTATAACTTAAGTTGATCAATAGACAATAATAGTTATGTAGCTATATTGATTTTATGGTGGTCATTCTTAATTTCTTTTAAAAAAAACTTATACTCCTATATTATATATATATATATATATATATA